AGAGCCCCTGCCTCTCGGCAGGGAGATCCTCTTACTGCGGGCCTCCCGTCCAGTTCTCACCAGTGTGAACAGCTTCACACCGTCCACACACGTTTCTGGATCCCTTACTGCGCTCCGGGAACTGGAAACACGCTAAGAAGAAGATGCAAATAAAACTCGATTCCTGCTTTTGAGGGGTTCACAGTCTGGAGGCAGGTCTACAAGTCTATCGAAATCAGTAAAGTTTCTTCAGGCGCAGGGCTGGCTCAGTGGGTGGAGCCTTCAACTCGATCTCAGGTTGTAGGTTCAAGCCCCATGTTGGGTGTAGAGATTACATAAAAATAAATTCTTTTTTTTAATTTATTTATTTATGATAGGCACAGAGAGAGAGAAGCAGAGACACAGGCAGAGGGAGAAGCAGGCTCCATGCACCGGGAGCCCGACATGGGACCTGATCCCGGGTCTCCAGGATCACGCCCCGAGCCAAAGGCAGGCGCCAAACCGCTGCGCCACCCAGGGATCCCCATAAAAATAAATTCTTAAGAAAAAATTTATTAAAGTCCCTCAAAAATTGAGTTTCAAAGCAAAGGGGAGTTTCTCCCCACCAAGGATGACAGAGTAGTGTCATGGAAGAAGCAGGAAGGAGCTAGGGATAGTGATGTCAACTTCTGGCAAAATAAACAAAGGCTTCACTCAGCAGGAACCGTATGGAAGCCTCAAGTCTTCATGAAGGCCAATAAATAATTTTTTTTTTTTGAAAAGCAGAGAACACCTTTGGGGCGCCTGGATACCTCAGTCAGTTAAGCATCTGACTTCAGCTCAGGTCATGATCTTGGGGTCCTAGGATGGAGCCCTGCAGGTCAGGCTCCATGCTCAGTGAGGAGTTTGCAAGCCCCTCCCCCTCCTCCTTCTCCTGCTCTGTCACTCTCTCAAATAAAATCTTAAAAAAAAAAAAAAAAGGAGGAGGAGGAAAGGCCTTTGAAAGCTGGAGGCATGGAAAGGTTGGTTACAAAAAAAGTCTTCCAGAGTATCCTGTGGAAAGCTTCACTCATGAAATGGGCCGACATCAATGGTGATACTTACCTGTCACATATGTAAGGTTTCCTTCCACATGTCTTTTTTTTTTTTTTAAGATTTTATTTATTTACTCATGAGAGACACAGAGAGAATGAGGCAGAGACACAGGCAGAGGGAGAAGCAGGCTCCATGCTGGGAGCCTGACGTGGGGATTCCAGTTCTCCAGGATCAGGCCCTGGACTGAAGGTGGCGCTAAACCGCTGAGCCACCCGGGCTGCCCATCCTTCCACATTTCTTTTTTTTTTTTTTTAATTTTTTTTTTTTTTAATTTATGACAGTCACAGAGAGAGAGAGAGAGGCAGAGACACAGGCAGAGGGAGAAGCAGGCTCCATGCACCGGGAGCCCGACGTGGGATTCGATCCCGGGTCTCCAGGATCGCGCCCTGGGCCAAAGACTGGCACTAAACCACTGCGCCACCCAGGGATCCCTCCTTCCACATTTCAATACTTCATTCCCTGTTTACTTCCAGGACAATTACTAGGATCCCCCTTTCTATAATGAGGAATCTGAGGCTTAGAGATGTGAAGTGTCCTGACCAAAGGTATATTAGTTAATATGAGTGGCAAATCCAGGACATCAATGTAAAATATTTGTCCCTAAAGCCAGATTCTTCACCATAGGATGTGGGGCCTTATCCTCATTCTATTTATCCATGTAGCTAAAGGATGGAAGATATCTTGTGAATACAAAGGGATTATTATGGGGGCAGCCCTGGTGGCCTAGCAGTTTAGTGCCACCTTCAGCCCAGTGTGTGATTCTTGAGTCCCAGGATCGAGTCTGGGCTACCTGCATGGAGCTTGCTTCTCCGTCTGCCTATGTCTCTGCCTCTCTCTCTCTCTCTGCGTCTCTCATGAATAAATAAATAAAATCTTTAAAAAAGGGGGGGGATTATTATGATAACTACTGTATCATTAATCCAAAATGGGGGAAAAATTGAACAGAAAAATGAATTTGATAACAGGATTCAGATTGATTTGGGTAGGACAAGAATATCGTCATGAATAAACAAGTGTTTATTCATGGCCCACTACCAGAACAGCAATAAGAATAAAAAAGAGATGAAAAATAAAAAAGTCTGTCATTTAGTTGATTGCTCATGCTCTCTTACGATCTTTTATTTTGAAGAATTCTACCTTTCAGAACAATTGTGAAATTGTCTGTTCTCTGGGGAATATGCTGTGGTATTGAGTTCCTGGAGATAAAGTAAAAGTAGAGCTATATGGGCTGGGCTCCATCTCTGTGTATTGGATGCCAGTGCTATATTTTTACAGGCAAAGAAACGTGAAGCGCAGAAAGGACAAATAACAGGTCAAGGCTATTCATCTATTAGATAGTGAAGTTAGAACCTTCATTCCTCTAGGCTTCTGCCCAAAATTCTGGGCTCATTCCAATCATACTTGAACCAAATATCCCTGTTCAGTAAAGTGCTGACCACTTCAGGTTCTTACAGATATAAATCCTAGAAAACATGGGTCCTAAGATGTCTCTTGACTTTCAAGGCTGAATCAATACCCAGACTCAAAAAACTATTGATGCCACTGAATTGTACACTTAAAAATAGTTAAAATGGGGGGGGGGGAGCAGTACCTCAGTCGGTTAAGTGTCCAACTGTTGATGTCAGCTCAGGCCTTGATGTCAGGGTTGTGAATTCAAGCTAGGTGTGGATCGTACTTTTAAAAAAAAGTTAAGGGGATCGCTGGGTGGCTCAGTGGTTTAGTGCCTGCGTTTGGTTCAGGGCACGATCCTGGAGTCCCGCGATCAAGTCCCGCGTCGGGCTCCTGGCATGGAGCCTGCTTCTCCCTCTGCCTGTGTCTCTGCCTCTCTCTCTCTATGTCTATCATGAATAAATAAAAAATAAAATAAAATAAATATTTTTTAAAAAGTTAAAACAGCAAATTTTATGTTCTATATATTTTACCAGTTTAAAAAATTAATAGTGTAATAGACCAAAAACCATTGAACTGTACACTTTAAATGTGTTAATTATACGGTATGTGAATCATATCTCCATAAAGTTGTTTGGGCTTATTAAGCTAAAGTCCTGGATTTGAATAGTGAATATACCTCAGGCTGCAAAACTGGAGAGCAGGGAAATCTGTCTCCACATACTCCTACAGGACACTTGAAGTAGGTGGGAGGAGGAGGAATAATGGGTGTCCTTTGCCCATAGATTGCTTAAGAGTATGCTTGTGAAATCTGTGTATGCACTCCCTGCTGTGGAGGGGTAGTTGTTCACTTGACCAGTTTTTTTTTTCGTTTGCATGTTATTATGGAAAAAGTTAAAGGTACAGAGTATCAGATATAAAAGTATTACCACCAGCTTGGAGAACTGTCAAACTGTGGCTAAGCTCGTTTTATGTATATCCCTACCCATTTCTGCCTCGCCTCTGCCTTTAATTTGAATCAAATGGCAGATATCCTATCATTTCATTGGTAAATATCTTGGTAGGACAATGCAAAAGATCAGAACTCCTTTAAATACACACGATACTATTAGCACAATCAAAAAAAATAACAATCTGTATGTCCATAGACATATAAATGGATAAACAAAAAGTGGGGGAACCCTAGGTGGTGCAGCGGTTTAGCGCCTGCCTTTGGCCCAGGGCGCGATCCTGGAGACCCGGGATCGAATCCCACGTTGGGCTCCCGGTGCATGGAGCCTGCTTCTCCCTCTGCGTATGTCTCTGCCTCTCTCTCTGTGTGACTATCATAAATAAATAAAAAAATTTTTAAAAAGTGGTATATACACACAGTAGAATGTCATTCAGCCTTTTTTAACACAACATTTTAAAGGTCGAATTTTAAGAAAATTCTGATGCATCGTACATCATGGATGAACCTCAAGAAAATCTACTAGTGAAATAAGGCAGTCACAAAAATACAAACATGGTATGATTACACTTACATGAGGTTCCTGGAGTAGTCACCCTCATAGAGACATAAAGTAAAATGCTGAGTGCCAGGGACTGGTGGGGGGAGAGAATGGGGACTTGTGTCATGGGTCCAGTTCGTGTTGCAAGTTTAAAATACTTCTGGAGATTGGTTGCATATTGTGAATGGATTTCATGGTACTGAACTGCACACTTAAAAATGGTTGAGATGTTACAGTTTATGGGTATTTTTAGTACAATTAAAATTTCAATTTAACCATTCCCTAGTTACAGGAACTATGGTGTGGAGAAATTTCCAATTTTTATAAATGTTATAGTCCCCCTACCCCCACCATGTTTGTCTGAGTTAGGATCCAAATAAAATTCACAGGTTGGCATGGGTTATGGTTCTTAAATCATTTGTCATAGGGGCAGCCCGCGTGTCTGAGCAGTTTAGCGGCTCCCTTTGGCTCAGGTCGTGACTCTGGGGTCCCAGGATCGAGTCCCACGTCGGGCTCCCTGCTGGGAGCCTGCTTCTCCCTCTGCCTGTGTCTGTGCCTCTTTGTCTGTCTCTGTCTCGTGAATAAATAAATAAAATAAAAAATCATTTCTCATCTATAGGTTCCTCTTCTCCCTTCGTTGCAGTGCATTTGAGGAAACAGGGTCGCTTGCCGCATGGCTTCTCGCAGCTTAGACTCCAGGGCCCGGACCACGTCGTGTGCTTTACCACTTTCCTTCGTCCTCTGTATTTCCAGTTCATGAATTGTCGGACGTAGAGGCGCTGGGCCAGTTCTGCTCGGGGCTCGGAAAGGGTCTAGAGCCTTCGCTGTCCGAGGCGACGGGCCAGCGGGACCTGGGCCAGGGACGCCGTTTATACGTCGGGGTCAGTCACGCAGAAAAGCCGGGGGAGGACGAGACGGAAGCGGGCGGGGCCGACGCTGGGAAAACCCTTTGTCCGCTTTCCACGCACGTCACAAAGTCCCAGAAAGAAGCCGCCGACGGGGGCGGGACCTTTGGCGGAAATGACACAGGCGCGGGCGGCGGCCGAGCAGCCGCAGTGACCCGGAGGCGGTGCAGAGGCGGCTCCCGCGTCGCACTTCCGGGCATCTCCCGGGAGCCGGGCTCCGTGGAGTCGCGAGGCGGCCGACCTCCTAGGGTCTCCGGTGGCCCCGAGCGCGGCAGCGGCCCCGCGGGCGGCATGTTCCGGGGTCTGAGCAGCTGGCTTGGCTTGGAGCGGCCGGCCGAGGGAGCCGGGCCGCTGGACGCAGCCGCTGCCCCCGAGGAGTGCTGTGAGGCGCTGGCCGGCGACGCGGACGCGGAGCCGCGGCAAGCGGGGGACCAGGAACTGCTTCATCAGGCCAGGGGCCTCGGCAGTGAGTCTCCTCCGGCTCTTGGGACCGGGGGGGGGGGGGGAGCCGCTCCCTGCCCTGGACGCCCGGGGGTGCGGGCTCGGCTGCTTGGGGCTGTCGGGTGGGTAGGAGCGGGGCAAGCTGTGCGTGTCACTCGGTCGCCTTGGGACGGGACAGGTGGATCTGCAGCCGGGCGAGGCCGAGGCTTCATCCAGCGGCCAAATCCCGTGCCTGCCGCTGCTGATGACGGGTCACCCTGGAGGTGTCTAAACCTTGGGAGCCAGGGCCTCCGAAAAACGCTGCGGCTCCACGTCTTCGGCCTTGACAGGGAATCTTTTTTGGCCACGTCTCCAACTTTCATCTCCACATCGATCACCCCCAGGACGGGGGACGTCGTGGAGCTTAAGTTGCGTGGAAAAGTGCCCCTTTGTGTCCTTAGGACACAGTATGTTGTCTGAAGTACATTCCGGGAACACTTCGGTGTATTGGAATTCTTTTTAAGGCCGGGAAAGTAGCTGTCCATTATTGTCTGTGACTCAAGCTTCGGTGCTAGACTTTTTCTTCTTTTATATAAACATTCTATTTACTTATTTATTCATGAGAGACACACACAGAGAGAGAGAGAGGCAGAGACACAGGCTGACGGAGAAGCAGGCTCCTTGCAGAGAGCCGATCGCCAGATTCGATCCCGGGTCTCCAGGACCACGCCCTGGGCTGAAGGCAGGTGCCCAACCGCTGAACAACCCAGCCAGCCCGCTGCTATATACGTTTGATGAACGATATCTCCTTCACTCTTTTAAACCTCCCACTGACTTGGGAACACAAGCCCAGAAGTTACCAGCCCGAAATTATACTGATAGTAAGCACTAGAAGTGGAAATGGAACCTAGGTCTGTCTAATTTCAAACCCATACTCTGCAAGCCACAGTCTAGATAGGGAAGACAGTAAAAGTAGCAGACTTGAACAATCAACACCTAGCTCTGGTAATTCTGATTCTGAAGACCTTGGCGGGCTTAAATAATGAAAGAAAACATCTTGGACAACGTGGTGCCTAAAGTAGATAGATGGCACTACAAGTGAAAGAACTGAAGCAAACGTAGATACTTAATTTAGCAAGCATCTTTTAAGAATCTACTAAAATGCCAGAGCATAAGGGAGTCTAGGACCTGAGAGTGGACGAATACATATTTGAATAGAAAAGGCTCTGACATTCAAAAACTTTGAGGAGGGCACAGGGAAAACAAACATCATCTCAACTCTTCGCAGTACAGAATCTCAGTTCAAGGCCCCTGAACACTGCACAAGAGAAATAAAGCTAACTGCTGTGCAATACAACCTCTAAAGAGGGAACAACTGTTTTATATGTAGAACATTGACAACAAGGGAGCTTGCAGTACTCAAGAGATGTGACATAAATCGTACTACAGCAGAAAGGCTGTTAGGTACATAGTCAAGATAAATACAAGTGGGACCATGTTAGGAAAAGCAGGGTATGGGTCTTTACTCCATTTCATAAAACACACACAACCATTTGCGTCCATCTTCAAGAATCTAACAAAAGTCTTTTTTTTTTTTTAAGCAATCTCTGTGCCCAACGTAGGCCTTGAACTCACAACCCTGAGATCAAGAGTCACATGCTCTACTGACTTAGCCAGCCAGGCACTACAGAAGTCAATTCTTAAAACAGGGCTTTATTGACTTGAAACCTCACATTTAAAATTTTTTAAAGATTTTATTTATTTATTTGAGACACAGAGAATGAGCAGGAGGAGGAGATGGAGAGAAGGAGAGGGAGAGACACAAGCAGACTCCCTGCTGAGCAGGGAGCCCAATGTGTGGCTGGATCCCAGGACCCTATGATTATGACCCGAGCCAAAGTCAGACACTTAACCAGCTGAGCCAACTAGGCACCCCATCATATTTGTATTTAGTAACAAAGACTTGAATATTATAATATAAACATGTTTTTAAAGATATATTCATTTATTTATTTGTTTGAGAGCACAGCAAGGGAGAACATGAGTGTAGGGGCAGAGGGAGAAGGAGAAACAGGCTCCCCGCTGAGCAGGGAGCCTGATGATGTGAGGCTTCATCCCAGGACCCTAGGATCATGACCTGAACTGCAGGCAGAACTTCACTGAACTGAGCCACCCAGGCACCCCTTAAAATAGTTGTATTTTCAATATGTATGTCTACTTTGGAGCTTGATTCTCCCATCTTTCTCTCCTTACCAGACTCTTTTAGTGTTTGGATTAGATGGAAGTATGCCCTTACTTCCTTGCACATACACATTGTGAGTGTAAAGTCTCTAAATAAGTGAGAACTCTTTTGGTTCTGAAATTTATGTGATTTTAAAAAGATGTAAAGGTTCTAGTTTATACACAAACCTTCAGAAAGATGAGAGATGGATCAGATATTCTTTTTTTTTTTTTTAAAGATTTAATTCGGGCAGCCCTGGGGGCGCAGCGGTTTAGCACCGCCTGCAGCCCCGGGTGTGATCCTGGAGACCCGGAATTGAGTCCCACATCGGGCTTCCTGCATGGAGCCTGCTTCTCCCTCTGCCTGTGTCTCTGCCTCTCTCTCGCTCTCTCTGAATGAATAAATAAATAAAAATAAATATTTTATTCATGTATTCATGAGAGACACAGAAAGAGAGGCAGAGGGAGAAGCAGGCTCCATGCAAGGAGCCCGACACCGGACTCGATCCTGGGTCTCCAGGATCACGCCCTGGGCTGAAGGCAGCGCTAAACCGCTGAGCCACCCGGGCTGCCCCAGATATTCTTTAACATACTGATCCTAAGGGGTATCTTATTTTTAAAAAGACTCCTCTCTCAAAAACTGAAATTAAGTATCTCTGAGTCTGACTCCCACTGCATAGATACATTTCTTTAGCATTTTAAAATCTTTGGACTCTCCTTTGTTTTGTAAATACTTGTTGAGTGCCTGCCTTCAAGGTTGGATCCTAAATACATCTGGTTCATGGTGATCTATTTGTAAATTTAGGCAACTCACCAATTACAAATGGTGGATACCCAGGCCTAGATTCCACTCCCTTACTCAAAACCAATACCTTCCCATCCTCAGTCCTCCCCCCTGATGAACTCTGGCCTCCTAGGATCACCTGCTTCAGAAGGAAAGCATCTTATAAGGGAACACACTGAAGAGCTCCTCCCTATCTCACTGAAGGCCTTGTGCCCTAAAGTAACTTATTATTCAGCACACATTGGTTGCTTGGTTTTTGTTGAAGCTTTATCTGTACTCTTTCTTTGGAGAAAAAAAAATACAACACAATCCCATACCTCTGAGAGTGTTAAATAAAGAGAGTCATTTGCATAGTTTAAATAAGTGGGAGGGTGGCCAAAAATGAACTTTGCCTTTTTTTTTAAGATTTCATTTATTTATTCATGAGAGACACAGAGAGTGGCAGAGACTTAGGCAGAGGGAGAAGCAGGCTCCCCATGGGGAGCCTCATGCGGGACTTGATCCCAGAACCCCTGGATCATGACCTGAGCCAAAGGCAGCCCCTCAACCACTGAGCCACCCAGGTGTCCCAAGCTATACCTTTTTCAAAGCTGTCTCTAAGGCTAGTGCATGCCCAGAAATTGGAGGAAGGGCCACCTCCTCTTTTCCTTAGAAAAGTGCACCTAGTATTTGCAGTGGAACTGTATTAATTAGGCCATCTTCTTTTTCTGTAAGGAAAGTGCATTTCAAGTTCGAGGTGCCTAACTTGCTTAGTTTACAACTAAAGTTAGTGTGTATGTAGGAAAATATATGTCTGCTTCAATACAAAAGTAAAATAACAGATTTACCACGGAGGAGGGCAGTGCAAATGGTCAAGAGCTTGGATCCCACAGCTTATGAACAGTACCAAAAAGAACTGGGATTTTAGCTTGAAGAAGAAACTTAGGGGCATTACTCAAAATTCTGAAAGTTTGGGGGTTTTTTGTCAAAAACTCATTATATGTTATGTAAGAGGACAGATCTAAGTCAGAGAGAGGTAGAAATGACAAGGAAAATGGAAAGGATTTTCTTTTTTTTTAATTAAAGATTTTATTTATTTATTCATGAGAGACACACAGAGAGAGGCAGAGACACAGGCAGAGGGAGAAGCAGGCTCCATGCAGGGAGCCTGACATGGGACTAGATCCCAGTTCTCCTGGATCACACCCTGGGCTGAAGGCGGCGCTAAACCGCTGAGCCACAGGGGCTGCCCAAGGATTTTCGAATTAGAGGAGCATAACAGTAATAATTGGCTACCCTATGAAGTCATGTGCTCCCCATTCCTGGAGGTAGGGCTACTTGGGTAAGAGATTCAATTAGGTAACCTCTAAAGCCCCTTACAACATGAAGATTCTAAAATTGTATGAAATATAGCATCTTTTTAAAATTAGCCAGCCCCTTAAGAATATTGATTTCTAGAGCAACCCGGGTGGCTCAGCGGTTTGGCACAGCCTTCAGCCCAGGGTGTGATCCTGGAGACCTGGGATTGAGTCCCACATCGGGCTCCCTGCATGGAGCCTGCTTCTCCTTCTGCCTGTGTCTCTGCCCGCCCCCCCCCGCCCCCGCCCCATGTGTGTGTCTCTCATGAATAAATAAATAAAATCTTTTTTAAAATATTGATTTTTCTAAAGCAAAGCTTTAGAAACCATTGTCTGCTCCTTATTTTCGTATTCTAGCAGCAAGCCTTAAACTCTACCTTCTTTTACTCTGACAAATATATCCCTTTTCTGACTTTTGAGAACCTTCCTTCCTACTTTCTTTTATCCTTATCATTCCATTCAGTTCTGTAAGGTCTTGTCACTTGTTCATATGACATGAGGCAATATAGGATTGGGGCACAAGCTTGCCAGTTAGAAGCAGATAGCCTGGGCAGCCCAGATGGCTCAGCGATTTGGCACCTGCCTTTGGCCCAGGGCGCGATCCTGGAGTCCCAGGAGTCTCTGCCTCTCTCTCTCTCTCTCTCCCCCTCCCCCTCTGTGTGTGTGTGTGTCTCTCATGAATAAATGAAACCTTTTTTTAAAGATTTTATTTATTTATTTATTTATTTATTTATTTATTTATTTATTTATTTATTTATTTATTTATTTATGATAGAGAGGCAGAGACACAGGCAGAGGGAGAAGCAGGCTCCATGCACCGGGAGCCTGATGTGGGACTCGATCCCGCGTCTCCAGGATCGCGCCCTGGGCCAAAGGCAGGCGCCAAACCGCTGAGCCACCCAGGGATCCCCATACATAAAACCTTAAAAAAAAAAAAAAAAAAAGCAGATAGCCTGTGTTTGAGTTTCCTGTACGGTTGCCTTTATTGTGACGTCATTTGCAAATTACAGAAAATCCAACAGAGGCATAAAATGAGAAGTCCCCAAGACCACCCCTAGGTTTGATGAGCACCCACCAAAACTGGGGTTGCTTTGGCAAGGAGGAAGGGATTAGGCATTGGCTAGGCAGTCAGCAGAGTTGGCCGCTATCTTAACGGGCAAATCATTCAGTCTGTGTGAGCTTCAGCCAACCTAGCTATAAACTGGGCAGATTATACCTATTCTTCCCAGGATGATTGTGAGACTAAAATGACTACTTTCACTGTTAGCAGTTTGCCCTCTCCTTCCATAAGGTTGCATAGTCATACTCACTGAGAGGCATTTTACTCAGTCTTTTCTTCTTTGGTTGCTGCTTTAATTCAGACTTTCTCTTTGTGCCTGCATTCCTGAAGTGGACTTTGTACTCCTGTTACTTCCTGTTAACTCTTAGTCTCAATTTTTTCTAACAACTTAATGAAAACTATCTTTAAATTGGTGTCTTCCAGTATATTAATTTGCAAAATTAATAAGCCACTTTTCATCTGTATGAGCTTCTTACCTGAAAATCTCCTGGCAGATTTTCCCACGCCCCACTTCCTCTGACTTTGGAATCCAGGCCACTCTCTAATTACTCTTGGGAGACCTTCTCCCTCCTTTTCTCTGAGTGCCTCTGTTTAATGATTATTCTTGCTGCTGTTTTCTTTGAGCCTCTTAGTGGCTTGTTTAGAAATAGACATTCCTTGAGGACGAGAACTATAGTTTCTGCAATGTTCTCTGTGTTCAATGCACTCCACTCTTGGACCCATTAAAATCTGAGAATTGAGATTATTATGCCAAAATACCAGGGTTTTTTTTTTTAAGTTTACTTATTTATTCAAGTAATCTCTACACCCAATGTAGGGCTCAAGCTCACGACCCCGAGATTCACAGTCACAAGCTCTTCTGACTAAGCCAGGCAACCCTAAAATGCCAGTTTTTATTTATTTTTTTAAAGATTTTATTTATTTATTTATTCATGAGAGACACAGAGAGAGGCAGAGACACAGGCAGAGGGAGAAGCAGACTTCCTGTGGTGAGCCTGAGGAAGGACTCGATCCCAGGATCCCTGGATCACGACCTGAGCCGAAGTCAGATGCTCAACCACTGAGCCACCCGGGGGTCCCTAAAATACCAGTTTTTATTTATTTTTTTAATATTTTTTTAATTAATTTATTTATTATTTATGATAGTCACAGAGAGAGAGAGAGACAGAGACAGAGACGCAGGCAGAGGGAGAAGCAGGCTCCATGCACCGGGAGCCCGACGTGGGACTCGATCCCGGGTCTCCAGGATCGCGCCCTGGGCCAAAGGCAGGCACCAAACCACTGCGCCACCCAGGGATCCCCAAAATACCAGTTTTTAAATGACAGTCCTCCTTAAAATAAAAATGATTCTAATTAAAATATTTTCCTGAGAAAATCTTAAAAGGAACCCTACTCTTTTAGAACTTTAGATTTCTTTTTTTTAAAGATTTTATTTATTTATTCTTGAGAGACACACACACAGAAAGAGAGAGGCAGAGACACAGGCTGAGGGAGAAGCAGGCTCCATGCAGGGAGCCGGACTCAGGACTCGATCCCCGGTCTCCAGGATCACGCCCTGGGCTGAAGGTGGCGCTAAACCGCTGAGTCACCCAGGCTGCCCAGAACTTTAGATTTCTTTGACTATCTGCAAAGAATATTTTTACAAAAGAACCTGGCTGTCTACCCAATTTATTGTACCACTCTGAAAATAGATGAGTCATAACCAAAAAGAAATGAAGGACCTCCCTAAAACTCAGCAATTACTGTGTTGCTCCTCTGTCATTTAGCAAGTACTGATTGGTCATTCATTGGGGATACTGTGGTGAATCAGACAGCCTTGGTCCCCGCCTCAGTGGGACTTAGGGTGGGCCTTCAGTCTAACAGAGAGGACAGAGCCAAGTAATCAATAGTCCCATGAATTTTGTTGGTCTGGCAACACAGGTGCTGAGGGAACACATCTCAGGAGCTCCCACTCCAGTTGAGGAGCCAGAGAACTTTTTCTGAGAAGTGCTATGTAAGCGGAGACCCACAGTATATGTAGAGTTAGCCAGATAAAGGGCGGGCAGATACAAGTGTTTAAAATCAAGGAATAATGTATCTGAGACCTACTTAGAGATACTTGAGAATTTCTTGAGGTCATATGAATGTAGGATAGGAGGGAGAAGAATGGCAAGAATGAGACTAGAGCCAAGTAGAGTCCTGTGGTTTGGTCACAATGGAGTGTTGACATCACTGACAGGTGAACACCACCAGACACAATGAGGGAAAGTAGACTGTTTATGGTAAAGGCTACAGAAAGTGGAAGAGAAGTCATTCAGATTGGGAGATAGTACTGTTGCTCCCAGATAGCAGTACAAGTTGCCGGATTCCCTGGAACAGATACTAGCCACTAGTGAGGATTTAATCTGGTGTGCCAAGCTCCCTTTACCACTCTTACCTGGGTTTTCCCCCTGCCTGAGTGTTATGAGAGTCCGCCTACCTGCCCTCAGCAGGTGCAAGTAGCAGAGGCAAGACTGCCCTAATTTAGTATTTCCCACTAGATGAGGTTGAAAGGCCAGTTGCCCAGGAGAATCCCCCCAGCAAGTCTAGCTTCACAACCTGCCTGAGGTTGCTTCTTGCAGCCTACATTGTATACAGTGTGGACTTTGAAATGATATTTGTCTACATACAAGCCTTTGTTATAGTTGCAATAGAGCCTTGATACTTAGGTCTTTTCAAGTCTTAAGGAAAGTTAATATTGTGCTTTTGTAAAGGTGAAAGTTTGTGTGTTCCGGTTTTAATTTTATTCTATATATTTGCTCATATTAGTTAAGAAAGATTTATTTTTTTATTTTTTAAGAAGGATTTCTATTTATTAAAAATTCCCCCAGATTTATTATGGGATGGCTTAATCTAGGAAAGGAAGGACATGTTTTCTTTGAACAAGAGGGAAGAACAAAATAAAATAGGATATTAAAGGTCTAGAAAGGGAGGAAAGTGAAAGGGAGCCTTCATCTTATTTGTGAAGTTAGAAGGGAAATTATCTATTGAGATAAATTAAAATGAGAGAAAAGGGGTGGGAGTATGCTAACGCTATGGATGGCCAGTCCAGAGAGTGGAGTGTGTTTCAAGTCCTAGTTAGCAAGAATCATGCCCTATGGTTTAAGATTCCCATGCGAGCTCTTTAAGGGAACAATCACAAATATAATAATCATTGTACTTGAATGGAGCATAGACTGTCTTTTATTCTTTACAGACTATCTATTTAGCTTTGCAACTGCTGCTACAAAAAAGATAACTGAATCAGTTGCTGAAACAGCACAAACAATAAAGAAATCAGTAGAAGAAGGAAAGATAGATGACATCATTGATAAGGTACATTTAAACATCTTTTGAAATTGATTAGCAGCTAATATAATTATCCCTTCTTTTTATGAACTTTATTAACCCAAGTAGGATATCATATTTCTGGTAAAAATATTAATTGTTGAGATTCTTGTGTTTTTTTTTCACTTTTTGTATAAGAAGTAGCTATGATTTAAATAACTTTGGTTTTAATATATTCGAAAATACACTGATGCTTTTGGGTAATACTAAATTTTTTATATTTTAAGTTTAATTTTAAACTATAACTGTTTGCAAATATTTATGCCTTTGCATCATCCATTTAAGTGTTTCAAGTCCTGACACATTAGGAATTATACTTTTAAGACTTGAAAAAGTAAGTTTGTACATTTCCTGCAGTGGTAGGGTGCAGGCCCAGGGAATTTCATTTATGTTGACAATTATTTGAACTAAGGAGATCATCAATTAAACTTTAGAGAGCTTGTTATTTAGATGCTTTGTTGTGTGTGTGCCATTCATTAGAATGAGATTTGACCTGGCTTTTATTGTTTTTTGGAATAAAGCAAAAATTCAAAATGCAATTATCTTTGCATTTAAAAAGGTAATCCATCACAAAAGACTTGTATACTTAAAATTTTTAAATGTTGAATTTCTCTTTGTTGGGGAAAGAGGAAGTATCACTTTTTTAACCTTTTTGAAGAAAATTAATAAAATATCTCACAACTTCACAAATCTTAAATGTAATTCTTATCTAATAATAAACTTCTCAAAGTAACTTGACTCTTTATGTATTTTTTAACAGACCATTATAGGAGATTTTCAGAAGGAACAGAAAAAATTTGTTGAAGAACAGCATACCAAAAAGTCAGGTATGATGTAAGTTTTTTGTACATGACTTACTTACCTGCCAGATTTTATTGAGCACCTAATAATGTGCCAGACACCACAGTAAGGCTCTGAGAATACAAAAATGTGTAAGTAACAGCCCCATCCTTCAAGTAGCACAAAGACTAGTGGCAGAGACAAGCTCATAAATCTTTGGGCTTTAAAGGAAGGAATGAAATTGTTCCCTGTGGCTGGGATGGAGAGTGAGATTAGCCGGTGACAGCCCCTCTGGAGAGCTCGCTCTGAAAATGGGTAAGCTTTCATTTCTCAGTTTATAACCTGTCCAACACAATGTGTGATGTACACATAACAGACACTTAGCAAAAGTTGGCTCCCTTCCCATTCTGTTTGGGAGGGGAAAATGATAGAGCTTTCCAGAGGAGTAACAGAGGACTACAAAAAGTCATGAGGTGTTTGGGGAAGTTACTCAATATATTTCTTTTTTTAAAAACATGATTTTATTTATTTATTTGAGAGAGAGCACGAACAGGGGGAGAGGGTGGGCAAGAAGCAGACTCCCCACTGAATGGGGAGCCTGTCGCAGGATTCATTCCCAGGACCCTGAGATCATGACCTGAGCCAAAGGCAGGTGCTTAACCAACTGAACCACCCAGGCACCCCTTAATACATTTCTTTGCTGACAAGTGCTTGTTTACATGTTTAATAGTTATTAGGTCTCAGAATGTCTACTTTTACTGTTTGGTTGTACTCAAATACAAAACTGGCCTCATGTCTTTCTTTGAATTTGGCAAAAGAATAAAATAGTTTGATCAGATTGAGCAGTGCCACAAATTTCAAAAGAGCTAGTTAGTCCTGTGGTAAGTCAGGCATTGTCATGCCTAGGTAAACTCAAAGTGTAAAGCAGATCTTTGGGACAAATAATCCATACAAATTAGCATTCCTTCGTGATTCCAGGGAACCAGTGAAAATGATCTCAGCTTGGAGACTTGGGATAGGAGCTGGTTGGAGCCTCTGAGATAGGAACTTTGAGAGAGTAGGGTGAAAGGATTGGAGGGACTTTCAGTTTTGAGGTGCCCATTAAGACCCCAGGTGAGAAGAACATGTACAAAGGCAGGGAAGGGAATGCAAGTGGCATGTCAGGAAAATGCCATTGCTCAGTTGCACTAGTCACATTTCAAGGGCCCAATAGCCACATGGAGTTAGTGGCTTCCATATTGGACAGTGCAAACCTAGAACATTCCCATCATTGCAGGAAGTTCTTCTGGTCAGCACTGCTCTAAATTAACTGAATGGGGTCCAGCAGCAGCAGTTAGTTGATTCCTGTTTGAAGTATGGAGAATTCCATCTACCAATACAGATTATTAGTCAAGTCATGTAAAAACCATGAGAGTGGTGACCTCCTCAGTGAAAAGTGTGTAAAGCATGAAGAGAGCTGAGCAGAGATCTACAGTATTGAGGGGGAGGGAGGAATGGGAGAAATTGACAATTCCTAAGTACCTGCTAAGTGGCACGTACTTTATATACAATATCTTTTTTAGTAAAAGGATCAGCAAGGCTACGTAATTTTGCTGAAGGTTGCTCAGCTGGTGAGTGATGAAACAAATCTGCCATCAAAAACAAAACAAGTGATGCCTGGGTGGCTCAGTGGTTGAACGTCCATCTTTGGCTCAGGTCATGATCCCAGGGTCCTGGGATTGGGTCCCACATCAGGCTCCCTGCATGGATCCTGCTTCTCCCTCTGCCTGTATCTCTGCCTCTCTCTGTGTGTCTCTTGTGAATGAATAAATAAAACCTTTAAAAACAAAACAAAAAACGGTGCCCATTTACCTGAGAGAGAACACTAGGAGAGAGAAGCAATGGAAGCCCAGAGAGGGGAGAATTTCAAGGAGAGTGAGGTCAGCTGAGAGGTCGTTTTACAAGAGCCATACGAGAGGCCCTATGTGAGTGTTCCATGTGCATTTGTTCATTTAACGGTCACAGTAACTCTCTGAGGTACTTGAATCTCCATTTTGCAGAGAAAGAAACTGGGCCTAGAGTGAAAAGAACTAGGAAGTGCCCGTGGGTTGGACAACCAGGAGGTTATTGGTCGCCCTAGAAAGAGCAGTTTCAGAGGAACAGGGAGGTGGGGGGTGTCTTATCCAGGTAGGTAGGTTGGGCCTTGACAGGACCTTATCTGAAGGTAAGAAACACCAGGAGAGGCTGCTCAAGGTAAATAGACTTAAAATGGAGGCCAGAATATATTTTTTAAGCTTTTTTCTTTTTGAAGATTTATTTATTTATTCATGAGAGATACAGAGAGAGGCAGAGACACAGGCAGAGGGAGAAGCAGGCTCCACACAGGGAGCCCGACATGGGACTTGATCCCTGGACCCCGGGATCATGACCTGAGCCAAAGGCAGGCATTCAACCGCTGAGCCACCCAGGCGTCCCGAGGCCAGAATATTAAAATCAATAGTGTGAGGGGGGGAAAAAAGTTTTGAAAGGGCTTTACCCCAATTTTTTTTAAGTATGAAAATATGAAAAAAAAAGAAAATATGTTTATTTTATCTTATAGTTAAATGAAATTTGGATTATATAATTGCCGCCATTTGCTTGCTTAGGATAAGCCAAAAAAGGAGCCATGTATCTGTCTTTCGGTCCACATGTCCATCCACACATGCACATAACTTTTCTATCAGTTGGTACACAACAGGATGTCTCTTTCATTGGATTTTTGCAACGTGATAGAAAGGGAGGTCTTGGCAAAAATATTAGGACCCCCTGCAGATATATCTTCTGTGCTGACCTCCCACCTCCACAACCTTGGCTCTGCCCTCTTGCCCTGCCCCGGTTCGGATGGTAGCACTACTCAGATGAGCAACACACTCGCTGACTTTTTCTCCACTCTTTCACATTTGCTGCTCCCTCTGAACACCCCCTACACACATCCACCGCCCAACTCCTCCTCCTAGATTAAGATCAGCCCCCAGGTCTCCACAGAAAACCCCTGGGACTCACCTCTCAGTAGTTGTCATTTGTTTTCTGTCATTATAAGCCTGCTAAGCTGTACTGTCTTTTTCTTGTGAGCCCCAAGGACAATGTGTCTGTTGTAGATCCCAGCCCTCTTATTTATTGCCCCTGATTTGCCCATTTCTTTCTTCATTTGCTTTCATTCCTGACAACCCTTTTCTTAGTTCCTAATTGCTTATTACCTTTTGTCATGAATCAAGTACAGTGACTTTTTTTAAAAAGAGCTTTTTATTTAGAAATAATTTCAATTTACAGAGCAGTTGCAAGTATAAAGGGAGTATTGAGAACATCCGTACACCCTCTTACCTAGATTGTTGGTTTTATTCCATCTTTCTTGTCCTTTACATTCCTTCTCCCTTTGTGTGTGTCTTTTCTGCTCCGTTCAATATATATTTCCTAAGAATTAGGGGTATTCTCTTACATAATCACCGACCAGACAGCAGCTTTAGGAAATCTAACATTGATATAATGGGCATATTCTAATTTTGTCAACTGACCCAGTAATGTCCTTTGTACATTTTCCCCCTCAAATACAGCATGCAGTCTAGGGTACATTATTGTAACTTTGGTCCTGTGTCTTAGCCTCCTTTAATCTGCAACACTTCCATGGTCTTTGTCTTTTAGGACATTAATGTTTTGGAAGGTACTCCCCCACCCTTTTTTTAAATTTTATTTTATTTCAGGGAGAGAGAGCACAGCATGAGCAGGGGGTAGGACAGAGGGAGAAGCCAACTCCCTGCTGAGCAGGGAGCCTGACATGGGGCTCAGGGCTCCATCCCAGGACCCTGGAATCATGACCTGAGCCGACCTGACCCAGAGGCAGACACTTAACCAGCTGAGCCACCCTGGCAGGCCGCCCCCCCCTCCCCAGTCCTTTATTTAAATAAATCATTCCTCAGTTGGGCTTTGGCTGGTATTTCCTCATGATGAGATTCAGATTATGCATTCTTGGCCACAGTACTACGTACATGATGTTGTGACCTTTTCAGGATATCACATCTGGAAGCCCACAGTGGCCATCTCTTTTTCATTGGTGGTGATGACTTGGGTCACCTGATCAAGGCGTTATCCAATTTCTCCACCATATAATTTAAGTAATTTTTTTTTTGCCAAATACGTACATGCTTTAGTCATACATCATGTCTGGGAATTCAGATGAATGTTCATGTTTGGAACTTGTTAGTAAATTGCTAAAATGATTATGTGGAAACTCTCATTCTTTCAAACCACAGAGTGCAGTGTGTAACCCTTGTAAGCTGTTTTTCTCTTTTCTTTGTTATTAAAAACCTTTAGAAGCAGCGGTGCCCCCATGGGTTGATAGTAATGATGAAGAAACAATTCAACAACAAATCTTGGCCTTATCAGCTGTAAGTATCTTCTGATTCCCTGGATAGAAATACCTTCCTCCCCTTTTTTTTTTTTTAAAGAAATACCTTCCTATCATGATTTTATCCTTAGAATGTTTTCCTTCTGTACAATTTTTCAAATGTTTTGAGATGTTAGAACTGTACACATCTACTTTCATTGTTTTTTCCCCTAAATTTCTCCCTACCCTGTTTTTTTTCCCAACCCTAAGTTTTAACTTACTTCTCCTTAAGTTCTTTTTTCTTAATGGAAAACTATAATCTATTACACAAAATAATTCTTTCAGCCTTAAAAGGATTCTTTTATGTTATTAAGATATCTTTTGAGATATGCCATCATATAAAGTTTCTAGATAGCATTAGAATGCTCTGAATGAAAAGATTGTATTCTAAATTTTCTCTTTAATTGTTATGTGTATTTGAAACGGAAATTGAAAAAAATAAAATTTTCTATGTTGGCCCACAAAAATTTCTCTTGGGACATGAGAGACTCCTAACTCTGGGAAACGAACTAGGGGTGGTGGAAAGGGAGGTGGGTGGGGGGTGGGGGTGACTGGGTGACAGGCACTGAGGGGGGCACTTGATGGGATGAGCACTAGGTGTTATTCTATATGTTGGCAAATTGAACACCAATAAATAAATTTATAAAAAAAATTTGGGACTTCAGAAGGGAATACAATGATAACCAGTAAACAATTGTACAGCACCTGATAGTTTCAGAAAACTTTCGTACACATTATCTCCTTTGAGCCTCACTGCACGTCTGTGAGTTAGGTAGGAGCTTTATTGCTCTGTACAGGCGTGAGGAGTGTGACTCCCAAATGTGTCCTTCACTAAGGAACATGTGTCTCCACTGGGCTGTGCATTCTTAGTGGGCAGAGGCTGGCTTTGATCTCTGTCCTCAACATCCAGCAGCCTGCCTGGCATGGGACTCAGCAAATAGGGCTTTTATTGTATCAGTGGTTTTCAAGCTTTGTTTTTAATCCACTCTTTTTTTTTAGCTGACATTTTAAGGTTTTTTTCCTTTCCATTAGTAGACCCTTCAAAGGCCTGAGCATTCATTATGAATTCAGTGTGAACTCCATGTATTTGTTTACTGTATGATGGCCAGAGTTGATGCTGACATCACATAATGGTTTTCTCCAGAAGCAAATTGGGACAGTGAGACTCATTTGAGGGCAAACATCAGATATTCACCAGTCAGGTCCCCATAGCTCTTCTGTCCCTCAGACCTGTTCCTGTCCTCATTTCTCCATCTCAAAATAAGATTCCAGTTATTCACCAGTTTTTTCTAGTCACGAACCTAAGAGTTTTCCTTCATTCACCTTCAGTCACACACACACACACACACACACACACACACACACACACACACACACAGGTCTGCTCACATCCTGACAGTACTGTGTTCAAAATATACCTCTACTCCACTTCTTTACTGCCACTGCCACTGCTGTGCCCTTCATGTCACTCTCCTACATAGAGCCTTCTAATCTCTCATAGGCTAAGATCTAAACTCCCTCCATTGGCTTCTAAGGCCCTTGGCTTTGCACACCTCTCCTCCCTTGTGCCCCACTGCCCTGCCTCCCAGCACTCCAGCCAGTATTTTTTTCTGGTATACAAGCAAGCTGAGCTTTGTTCTGCTTTAGTGCCTTTTGCTCACTGTCCCCTCTTTCTAGAACACCACCCTGCACCATTCCATAAGATCTCATCTTACCTGTCACCTCCTCCCTCACCATCCTTTCAGCCCTCCACCAATTACCCCATCTCCTAGCCTTAGCAATCTAAACCTTGGTCTGTCTCTTCCCAGTCCTCCACCCCACAATTGGAATGGAAACGCTCGGAGGGCAGGGACTCCATCATGCCCTGCTGAGCAGGTGGCATGGTGCCTAGAGCATAGCAGGTGCTGAATGGGCATCTGCTGAATGGGTGATGCCGTGAACATTGCATACAGATACACCTACAAGAGAGCACCCAAGATTTCAGCATGGCCCAGAGGCTTTGAACGACCTTGAGTACAGCCTTTATGGTGGCTACTGAATTTGTTAAGGGATAGACTAAGTTGCTATAATAGAGAAATCCAAAAATACAGTAGGTTAAATGGGCTGTGACTTTGTCTCCCTCCCTCCTTCTGCTTCATGTAGGAGTCCAGAAGTAGATGGTCCTTGTAGGTGTGCTTTGCCCATGAAGTCATCTACATACCCAAGTATTTCCTATCTTAATCCTATCCTATGCCAGCCTCTATGGTGTTGTCTGCCTTCTATATAGTGAAGCCAGTTCCCATGACCATGGTTGCATTCCAGCCTGTGGGAATTGGGAAAGAGGTGGGTGGGCATGCCAGACTGTTTGAAAGATGAGACTCAGAAATTGTACATATCACTCAGGCCTACATCCCTTTGGCAGCCTAAATTCATGGCCACTCCTAGATGCCAGGGAGCCTGGGAAACCCAGTCTCTGGCTGGGTGGACATATGCCCAGCTGGAGCTCAAGAGTTGTGATCCTAAAAGGAAGGAAGGAAGGAAGGAAGGAAGGAAGGAAGGAAGGAAGGAAGGGAGGAGGGAGGGAGGGAGGGAGGGAGGGAGGGAGGGAGGGGTACTGGGAGATAATTTGCAATCTCTGCCATAGTTGCCTTACATTCTCTGATTAGCCAAGCACTAGTTAAGACAATTCAGAGCCTACAGCAGAGTAACCCTTTAAGCTCCTTGTGTTGGGGCACCCCTTACTTAGGACGTAATGCTGTCGTTAGGTAGTGGTAGAGAACTCAATTCAGCAAATTGTTTTTAGAACCTCCTCTGGGCCAACCTTGTCCTAGGACCGGAGGTAGATGAGATCTACCCTCTGAAGGAGCCTGAAGGCTTATTAGACAGTGCTACTTGAGTGCACGCACAGCATCACTGCCTATGATGAGCACCGTAATGCAGCATGGTGACGAAGCACCGAGGAGGGGGGGGGCATTTCCTTGATTTTGGAGAGGGAAGAGGATGATCTCAGAAAAGCTGTCCAGAACTGATGACATTGGAGCTGAGTTATTGTCTTGGGAGGAAGGTGTGTAGATGTTTGGGGGATGGGAGGCAGGGTTTGAGATTCAGATAGGGGGCGTTGTAAGCATTTGGGTATGACTGGACTGCAGGATACAGGTGGAAGTGTGGATAAGGAGCCAAATCATGGAGACCTTTTTATACCTTTCTGATGAGTTTAGGTTTCATCTTAAAGGCGACAAAGGAGTCATTGAAGGATTTTAGTGATAGGTAAAACACATGTTTTTCTTGGGCAGGGTAGAAAGTGGGTTGCTCTGAGTAAGAAAAACAGGACTGGAGACAGCTGCAGCTGTAGAAATCCAGGTGAAACATGATGGGGCAATTTTAGACTTTGCAGTTTTTAGGTTGGAAGGTAAAATAACTAAAATCCAGTTTGGTTCAGGTTTGTTCTTGCTTTATTAATGTAGGAATTCTCAAAAACAAAAATACTGTTAAAATCTAACACAGGCAAGATGAGATGAAACTGGTGCTGTTAATAGCCAGCTTCTAAGATTTAAGTAGCCAGTTTTCTAAGATTATTCAACACTAGTTTTCACATACCTAAAGTGCTCACTGAAACAAACGTGTTCATATGATTTCAAACTCTAATTTCAACTAATTGCATGATTGAATTTCCTGGTCTCCCACGAGGCTCTCTTCAGTTGAGACTGTTAAATATATGACAGGATCCGTCATTCTCCACTCTGGTCAGCCGACAGGTTAATGATACCTCAGTCGACTTTGTGACTGAAATCTTTAGAATTTGGTGTTTGTCAAATCAGTGATGCATTGTTACATATTAATCGCATCCTATGGTTTTCCCCATGTTTTCCCCCTTTTCATCAAAGGACAAGAGGAATTTCCTTCGTGACCCTCCAGCTGGAGTGCAGTTTAATTTTGACTTTGAACAGATGTACCCTGTTGCCCTAGTCATGCTCCAGGAAGACGAGCTGCTGAGCAGGATGAGATTCGCCCTTGTTCCTAAACTGTAAGCAGTGTGTTCCTGAGCTGGAGCAGTGCTGTTCACACAGCGTGAACTTGCGTGTTCTAATGGCCTTGGTCGTATGCACAGTATCAGGGAAAAATTGTGGAATGGGAGCCAGAGCAGGTTCCTACTCTCTTTTCATGAAAAACAGGCTCTGTGGCCCTTCATCTTGCTCGCTCATGCTCTTGCTGTCCCCTCTGTCTCTCTGTCTCACACACACACACACACACACACACACACACAGAGAGCCATAGAATCAAAACTGAGAATGGACTTAATAGGAAATTTAGGGTGGAGATGAGATGTGGTCTTTTATCCCCAGTTAGAAGTGAGAACATAGTTCCTACAGAAACAACCAACGTACCCATGTCTTCCAAATAAAATTAAGGTCTACAAAGCTCATCAGGACCTGGCCCACTGCTTTTTTCCACTCAGGCTCTGCCCTTTGGCAACAGTGTTCCTGTCCTCTTTCCCACCCGAGGTTTTTCCTCTACCCGAAGGCCCTCTTCTCTTCCGAAAGTACCTGCTTGTGCTTGGGGCTCCAGTGCAAGCATCATGTCTTCAGGGACACAACCCTGACAGGTATCAGCAGAGGCCCCCCACAGAGGTCCCTTTCCTTTCCCCTCTGCCACCACGGGCTCTTAATCACCTTTTTAAATTCCAGTTCCTTGTTTTCAATCTGCACTTTTAGTCTGCAGTCTTTCTTACTCTGAGTGTTCCTTTTTTAGAGCACTCTATTTTTGTTTTTAAATTTTTTTAATATTTAATTAATTTATTTAGAGAGAGAATGTACATGTGCACGAGTGGGGTGAGTGCCAGAGGGAGGAGTAGAGAAAGAATCCCAAGCAGACTCCATGCTGAGCAGGAAGCCCAATGTGGAGCTTGATGCGGAGCTTGATCCCAGGACCCTGAGATCACAACCTGAGCCAAAATCAAGAGTTGGCTGCTCAACCCGCTGAGCCACCCAGGCATCCCAGCACTCTATTCTTTTTAGATGGGTACGGTATCTTGCTGTTCTCTTAGAACGTGAAGTATAGTTTCCTTGAAATACTCTTTTGTCTCAATGCTTTTCTCAAAGCCTTCATGTTTGTCTTGGGCTCTGTCGTTCATGTTGCAGGTTTTCCTTACCTGCTCTACATATCTGAGGGCACTGTAGTGAAGGAACACTTAGAGCTGTGCATTCCCACAGGCCTTTTGGAGAGGGAGACTCAGTAGCCAAGGGCTGGGTGGCCTCCCCCAAGAGGACTCATCCACCTCCTGCCTGACCCCTCTCAGCCATGCCAGCTGTCCGAGTGTGGAGTGGTTTAACTCATAGTTAACTGTCACACTCTGCTGCATGAGAACACAGTCCCTGGCTGGAAGGGGCAGCGTGGGAGGCAGAGCCAGCTGGCCACTCCTCTGGGGCCTTGCCACCATTCCTCTTGTCTTGAGCCAAACCTCCACCAGCCTTCAGAGATGCCTGGTGCCTCCTGTCCCTGGGTCTTTCTGAGCCGATGCCTGGTAGGCCTATTCTTGCTGGCTGGCCCTCCTGCACGCTCTCTGGTCGATGGAGTATATTACTATTTGCCCTTCACCTTTTTGGCTTCCGCTGTGGTTTCCTGGCCAATTCTCTTTGTCGTGTGGATTTTATCGACTTAATGTCTTTTCTATTATTTTAGAAGTGTTTTCAAAGGGAGCACAGATATATACATGCTCATTGTGTGCTTTGTTTAGCAGGCCAAACAGGGGTTTTAACAAATATTTGCTAGCCCTTTGATTCATATGGGAGCAAAGATCTTCTGTCTCTGAGAGAACAAATGTTCTTCCAGACCCGGAACAATAGTTATATCGAACCTTTTACTTATTTTTCCTTTTTAGTGAAACTCTTCATAATTATTAACATGTTGGAGGTGGATTTTTGTAGCCCTTCTCTCACTTCACCTCCTTTTCTTTTTGCTTAAAGATTTTATTCATTCATTCATGAGAGATACAGAGAGAGAGGCAGAGACACAGGCAGAGGAAGAAGCAGGCCCCATGCAGGGAGCCCAGATCCCGGGATCACGCCCCGAGCCAAAGGCGGATGCTCAACCACTAAGCTACCCAGGCATCCTTCTCCCTTCCCCCCCTAAAAAGAAAAACGTGTTTTATGGCTAAAATCTCATTACAAATCTAATTCCTAGATTGTGTCTAAAGTAGCTATTTTTAGGGCGCCTGGCTCTTGATCTCGGAGTCATGAGTTTGAACCTGACATTAGGTGTAGAGATTATGACAAACAAACAAACAAATAAATAAAGGAACTATTTTTAGTTAAGGATATAAAAAAATTATCATCTGATCTGTTCTTAACTATTATGCTCACAAAATCCCGAGAGTTGGCTTTTGAACAGTTCATGTGTATATATCTGTTGGAAGCTCTTTCATCTCAGAATTCGGGGTTGCACCTATTCTGAATAACTGCCTCCTCCTTTTTTTTTTTAAATTGCAACCTTCTTTTTTTTTAAGATTTTATTTATCCATTCATAAGAGACACAGAAAGAGAGAGAGAGAGGCAGAGACACAGGCAGAGGGAGAAGCAGGCTCCATGCAGGGAGCCCGATGTGGGACTCCATCCCGGATCTCCAGGATCACACCCTGGGCTGAAGGTGGCACTAAACCACTGAGCCACCCAGGCTGCCCTAACTGCTTCCTTCTGAGATAAGAGTAGCAAAGCTCTGGGGTTCAGGTGGCCTTTGCACCTAAAGGCTCCAGCAACTTGAAGAACATTTGAATCACCTTGGGCCACACAGTGGGTTCCCTGCCAGTGCTCTTGGGACTGTCCAGAGGCCCGGGGACGCTGGGGCATGTGGCCTGGGGTACTCATGGCAGACATGTAGCTAGCTTTGATTCCATAGTTTGGGTTATTGACAATTCTGGACTTCCTCTCACTGCTGAGAGTAATTTTAAAGTTCATAAAAGATTTGGAGAATTTGTATTTGGTAAATCATATTTCTAGTTTGTTGCTGGCTAGGTAAATTGTCTATTGAGTAATATGATTCCAGTTTCCTATTAATTCTGTTAGGGATGATTTAGAGATTAGGGTTGTCATTTTTTATAATTATTTATCTGTTAGAAACACTTACTGAAATATTTGTGGATGAAAGGATGTAATATCTGGCATTGCCTTAAAATATTCCATCCTACACCCAGAGAAAGGTGTGCGTGCAAGGAAGAGGGGCATAGATAAAACATGATTGGCAAAATATTGGTGATTGTTAGTTAGGTCACGGGTACATGGGCTTCTTTGTCCTAGTCACTCCATTTTTGTTTTTGTTGGAACTTCCATAATAAAACAAATGAGCCATCACACACAAATCTAGGACTTCCCTTCCTGGCATGCAGAAGTGAAACTTTGAGACACTTTTTGTAAACAGAAGCCATCATTAGATAGGAACAATTTAGAAAATAAATCAAGGGACACCTGGGTGGCTCAGTGGTTGAGTGCCTGCCTTTGGCCCAGGGCGTGATCCTGGAGACCCGAGATCGAGTCCCACGTCGGGCTTCCTGCATAGAGCCTGCTTCTCCCTCTGCCTGTGTCTGCCTCTCTCTCTCTCTCTGTCATGAATAAATAAATAAAACCTTAAAAAAAATCAAACACTCTGTATTTCAAAATACCTTGTAGTGCTTAACACTTCCCTGTAACACCAATGCTGGTATGAGACAGGGCCCTGCTCTCATATCACAGACACCCTCTGAGGCCTTCACTCTGACGGCAGTAGAGAAATCACAAGTCCTTTCCAGCCTTGGACAGTGACCTACGCCCATTGTTTCCCAGAGGATGTATATATCATTCTAATGCCTTAAAATTGTCCGTGAAAGCGTAAGTGGTAAGATAGACATTTGGGAGTTGCTATATTCCATGGTTTTCTTTATCATAGGGGTCCTCAGAATCTTTATTATGTCATGGGCATTGTAACTCTGTCCAGAGGGTAACAGAACATTTCTTTAGTGTGCCTCTGTGACCTCTTCTTCTTATATCAAGAGGAAAGAAAGAAGAAAAAAGAAAACAGTCCAGATGTTTGTTTTTATCAAGAGGGCAAACATTGCCCATAATCTGCTGTAAATTGATGGTACACCTGATTCATTTTGGACATTTCATGGAGCTCAGACTTAAGTGACTTTAAAAATATTCAGGCAGCTCACTACCTCATGGGAAGCTAAACTCACTTCTGTCTGTGATGTTCATTGTTTAAGATTCTTGAACTTATCCAGGTAAAGACCTTAGTTCTTTTTTTTTGTTTGTTTGTTTCTTGGGTATCTTCATCTCTATACCCAGTCACCATCCAGGTACTTAACCTCCAAAAGTGAATTCTCCAAAGTGAACATAAAGTGATGTCTAATTGCAGAAGAGCACACTATAGTATATCTTGTGTTGCTTTTTAGGGATTTATTTATTTTACTTATTCGATGGGGCTCTGGGGCAGAGGGAAAGAGAATCCTGAAGCAGACTCCCTGCTGAGTGGGAGCTTGACCTTGAGCTCAATCCCAGGACCTGAGATCATGACCTGAGCTGAAATCAAGAGTCAGCCACTTAACTAAGCCACCCAGGCACCCTTTGTATTACTTTTTAATGCTACCTAAGATTTTGTTAGCTTTTCTAGCAGCTACAGCATACTCTCTTTTGGTCAGGTAAACGTGTGGTTGACTATAGTGCCTCACGAACTACTGTTAAGCTAGGTCTGCCTCCTGCTGAACTATTTCCAAGAGATGTTATAAGAAAAAGAGGTTTGTGAGAGCACATGAGTTTGGGAAATGCTACTTGGCATTTACTTAACATAGTAAGAGCTTAACAAGTAAGAGGTCATTATTCCTGTGACCACCTGTGTTGGCAGATAACTTGGTTTATTCATCCCCGAATCACCTGGCATGGGGCCTGATGTATGTGGCACTCAGTAAGTATTGGTGGAATTAATGAAAGAAAAGATGGGCTGCATCTAGCAGCATGTCATCTTGTTACCCAGCCTAGCCTTGTGGATAATCTTGTATTTTACCTCTGTCACTTAAAAACCTAGCCTCGGGGCATCCCTGGTGGCTTAGTGGTTTAGCACCACCTTCAGCCCAAGGCGTGATCCTGGAGAGGGGGCGGGGGTCCCACGTCAGGCTCCCTGCATGGAGCCTGCTTCTCCCTCTGCCTGTGTCTCTGTCTCTCTCTCTCTCTCTCTCTCTCTCTCTCTCCTCCCTCCCTCCCCCTCCCTCCCTCCCTCCCTCCCTCTCCCTCTCCCTCTCCCTCTCCCTCTCCCTGTGTCTCTCATGAATAAATAAATAAAATATTAAAAAAAAAAAACTAGCCTCTGTTAGGGCACTTGGGTGGTTCAGTCAGTTGAGCATCCGTCTCTTGATTTTGGCTCAGGTCATGATTCCAGGGTCCTGGGATCAAGCCCCATGTTGGGCTCCCTGCTCAATGGGGAGTCTGATTCTTTTCCTTCTGGCTCTCCCCTTGCTTGTGCTGTCTCTCAAGTGAATGAATGAACAAATAAGATTCTCTCTCTCTCCCCCACTCCCTCTCTTTAAAAAAAAAAAAAAAAGCCAGCCTCTGTCTCCTGGCCCAGCTTCACCATTCACAAATGTGACAACCATGTGTTCTTCTTAGGTCTTAACTGAGGCCTATTCTCATCCATAAGGCCGGGTCTCAGAATTTTCTCTTAGTTCTTATTGATTTTTTTCTATTCCCTCAAAATCTTTTTCAGTCATGCTTCCTTAAGTTTCTCCCTGTTAGGTTTTTTGGTAACTAAATGGAAATGAGACCGCCAAGGCAAGCGAGGGTCCAAGAACTGATTTTATTGCAGGCACCCTCGGGCGAGGTTCCACGACTCACGGAGGGAAAGAGTGAGTCGGGGAAGTCGCCCCAAGACAAGGTGGCAGGGGGTTTACATAACGTTGTAAGGCAGAACGGTTTCCTATTGGTCGGCTCATATGCAAAGGAAGGATTGCAGTCCAACCAGTCAGAGTGACCCTCACTATGCAAAGGAAGGATTGCAATTCGGTCAGTCAAAGGTGACTTCCTCCTCTGGGGTTTGAAGGGCATTGGGTCCTGTTGGGTAAGTCCAAAGGAGAGGTCTAAGGGTCTGCGTCAAGCTGTCAGCAGGTCATTGGTCCATTGGCGTCCTAGGTGGAGGTGGTGACAGGAACCTCAGCCATTTGGGGTATCCGCCATCTTGAGGAGTTTCTCTTCCCGCCTGGCCCCAACACTCCCCATTCTAAGACCCCGCATCCCTTCTAGTAAACCAGGGGGTAGAGAACATTCTCCTTACCCCCTGTTTTGTCACTTCTATTAGCAAAATGTTTTGGAAACACAAAATGAGTGACTCCTCCAGACAAAAAAATACTCCACAGGGATCCCTGGGTGGCGCAGCGGTTTGGCGCCTGCCTTTGGCCCAGGGCCCGATCCTGGAGACCCGGGATCGAGTCCCACATCGGGCTCCTGGTGCATGGAGCCTGCTTCTCCCTCTGCCTGTGTCTGCCTCTCTCTCTCTCTGTGTGTGTGTGACTATCATGGATAAATAAAAATTAAAAAAAAATACTCCACAGGTCACCAACCCCATCGCTAGTTATGTGATGGAGGTGTACATTTTATGTTTTTGTTTGAATTTTGTTTTGCCTTCCACCCTTAGAATTTTATTTAATAGCTCTGAGGTAAGCATAGTCATCAATGTTGTTTTTTAGTTGTTTTTTTTTAATTTATTTATTCACAAGAGACACAGAGAGAGAGAGGCAGAGACACAGGCAGAGGGAGAAGCAGGCTCCGTGTAGGGAGCCTGACGTGGGACTCGATCCCGGGTCTCCAGGATCAGGCCCTGGGCTGAAGGTGGCGCTAAACCACTGAGCCACCTGGGCTGCCCTATTTTTTAGTTTTAAACAATCACACCTTTATGTAAAAAGGTTGGAGGTATAGCATAAAAAGTTTTTTTTTTCACTCGTTTGAGACCTGATGCTCCATCACTCCTGAATGCTAAAGCATTCACTAAATACACTAAAGTGTGTATTTCCTGCAAACAAGTCTTTTTCTACATAACCACAATGTAACCCTCCAAATGAGGAAACAGTTACTCATGCATTATTGCCATCTGATTCCCAGACCCCATTCAAGGTTTCCCATTTGTCCCAGTGTCCTCTTTAGCAAAGGACCCAGTACAGGCTCACATGGTGCATTTCATTTTTGTGTCTCATCAGTGTCCTATAATCTGTTGCACCCTATCAGGTGGTGTATGCTGCCATTTTGTCCCCTTTACTGCCCACACTGTGGGCACTTCACTTGATGAAGGTGGTTTCTGCCGGACTTTTTTTTTTTTTAAGATTTTATTTATTTATTCATGAGAGACCGAGAGAGAGGCAGAGGCATAGACAGAGAGAGGGAGAAGCAGGCTCCCTGCGGGGAGCCCGATGCAGGACTCATCCCAATCCCTGGACCAAGGATCATGCCCTGAATGAAAGGCAGGCATTCAACTGCTGAGCCAGCCACCCAGGCATCCCTCTGCCAGACTTCTTGACTGTAAAGTTACTTCTTTTCTCTTTGAAATTAATAAGTATTTTCTGGGGGAGGTACTTTGAACTCTGTAAAACTATTCCATTCCTCATCAGACTTGGAACATATTCATGTATTTATTTGTATCTGTATAGACTCACCATCCTGTCTTATGCAATGGTTATAATCGTTGCCATCATTATTTATTTTGATGCTCAAATTATCACCGTTTTAGCCAGTGGGAGCCCATTCAAGTTGGTTTCTGTGTCTTTTTGACCCATCCTCATTATTCGTTAAGTGCTTCCTTGCTTTTTGACATGAGGTAGTCTGGGCTCATCCTGTTCTCTCCTGCAGTGACTCTGGAATTGGCCACTAATCCAAAGAGTTCTGGTTTTTTTTAGTGGAAAATGGTGTACAGACACCAAGATCTGAGCGCTAGGCATGTTCATTGCTTATTGGAGTGTCATTATTCCTTGGTCCACTCAGTGGACAGAGCTAGGGAATATTTGTGTGCTCATGTATATTCACATACATTCTCTACTGAATGAAAACCATGTATTCATGGTGCTACCTCACAGCAGGGATCATTCTAGAATTTTCCCTTTCAATGTTTGTAACTCCCTTCTCTGACCACGAGAATCTTGGTTTCCACTCTCCTTAATATTTTTATTTAATTGATCAACCCCTTGCGTGTAACCAATCTTCCATTTTTGCCACCACCCACTCCCCTGCTCAGACACCCTCCTTTCTGGGCTCAGGCTGACATTCCCCATTCCAAGGCATCCCCATGTGGCCAGTCACCTTACCCTACTTGGTCCCTGGCACCCCCTGCCAGGTGTTTCTCATATGCAGACAAGTTTGAGGACCCCTGAGGGTCCTCTGGTTGAACTGCACTTTAGTCTTTTTTTCAGTCATCTCCCACCTCACTCTTACTGATCCCCAAGTTATTTGCATGCTGCCAGACATTTCCTTTCATAAGGAGCAACACCCACAATCCTTTCTTGTCACTGCTGGAAAGTTCTTAATCCTTCGGCAAACAGCAAATCCAGTGAAGTCCTGGCTGGCTGTGCTTGCAGTCTCCTAGGTTGATGTGCTGGTTTCACAACAGTGCCTGTTTGCTTTTGCTGAGGGCAATGTTGGTATCATTAAAATACCAAGAAATATGGAGGTTTCATTGGTGTTCTGTAAGTTGTCTTTTGCTGCTGTGGAGAAGATAGCTATTCTTTTTATCCTGTTCCTTAGCTTTTAGTTCAAAAGCAAGTAAAATCTCCTTTGAGCCTCACTCAGATTTGAAAATGCCTCTGAAAAATCATCTCTTCCCACCTCCACTAAAACAAATAACCCCCATGTGCATTTGCATGTGTTGCACGCATTCTCAAATGTGTTGTTGTCTGTCCTGAAAAGCGTGAAGGAAGAAGTGTTTTGGAGGAACTACTTTTACCGTGTCTCCCTGATTAAGCAGTCAGCCCAGCTCACAGCCCTGGCCGCCCAGCAGCAGGCCGCCGGGAAGGAGGAGAAGAGCCGTGGCAGAGAGGAAGACTTGCCACTGACAGGTATATTCAGAGAAGACTTAACTCTGTGTTTAAAAAAAAAAAAAAAAAGTTACTTGAAAAATAATCTTAGAGACTCTCATGAGCTTGTCATCTTGTAAGTACCAAAAATGTCATTGTCATCTACTGAAAAACTCTTTCCTTTCCAAAGGAATGTTCATTCTCATGCCCTCTCTCTGACCCTGCTCACACTTCTCCCCCAAGCTTTCCTTTCCTTGGCTTTCTTTTTCTTGTTCTTCGGGGGTTTTACTTCTTTTTATTTCTTCCTCAGCCACTGGTCATTTTCACATCTCTTTCCTTGCCCTTTACCCTGTAACATTTGATACCTTCTATCCTCTACCGACTCAGTCCACTGTTTTTCTTTGTTTCTCTGCCTCTCATTCAAGCTGATGTTCCCCTAGTCCTGTACTCTGTAGAGCGGAACTAAGCTCCATTCCACTCCAAGTTACCAGTGTCTAGCTCAGACCTGGGCACCGTTACATTGCACGCTGGACTCTTACTGTGACAGTTGACCCCTGGTTGTTGGGGAAGTGTTCTATAATATCAGCAACAATTTAAGATCAGTAATACTAATTAAAATAAGAAAGATTAAAAATAATAAGGTATTTTGGGTCATATTTTTAATGTTTCATGAATATCTGTGTATAGGTACTAATTATACCTACTAGAGGCTTACCTGTTCATGGAATTTTAAATAATTATGCAAAACCATGTATCTTAAGGTACGGGTTGTACAGACCACTAGAAAAGAACCTGCCACTGCATTTCAGCTCAGGGAAATGTCATGAGGTTGCTTTACACAGTGAAATTTGGCATTTTGCATATAGATGTCAAAAAAGAATCCCAATTGTCTATTATTCTTTACTATTTATTTTTAGTAATTTTATTAGAAAATGCCATTTTACCAAAACTGCCTGTGTATCAAAATGGGCTTAAGACAGGATTCAGTAAAGACTATACACCTACTGAGGTTTGTAAGATAGAAAATGCGGCCCAGGAGAAAGAGGGGAAGCTATGGCTGAGTGTTGCACTTCACTTTGTGCTTCCTAACATTCGTGACAAAAGGAAAATTTGACAAATAACTGAATTCTCCTTTTCCTAAAAGAAAGAGCAGAACTATTCCTGAATTTGACTTCAGCTAACACTGTGGTCAAAATTTATTTCTTGTTTGGAAATCTTATATGAGGAGCATCAAATATGATGACCTAAAAAATACATATACCCCAAAGAAAGAGGTTAAAATATGGTCTCGCCTAGCTATTTCTTGAAAGCATAATATAAAAGCTCATTTCTGAAAATTATTTAGTATCATTATACTTGTGGATATTTTAGTTGTTACTATAATATGTATTCAGAATTGAATCAAGCAATTTTTATCTCTTTTATTCTCACTTCTTAGAGGCAGTACGGCCCAAAACGCCACCTGTCGTAATCAAATCTCAGCTTAAAACTCAAGAGGTAATACAGTTTTACGTTGTACCTAGTGGTTGATGTCTGGAAATGAAGTAACTCATGTTAACTATCTCAGATCCCATTTGAAACTGCTTATGAATACGGGTCTTGTATGCTTTGAAGAAGAGGGGCCCAGCACTTATCTAGTTAAGGACCTGTAGCTGAGACTTGAGGCAATTCCCTGGCATCAGGAATTGGACTGAATGACTGGGGTGACCCAAACTGTGAGAGAGCCTAGTAGATTCAGGCAGTAGCTCATCTGGCTCCGAAGCAACCAGTACAGGTGAGATGACTGGAGAGCAGTGAGCGTCTGACTAGTGGAGGAAGGCGATGAAAGGGACACTAAGCTAAATGCCATTTAAGAAAACCATTCCCACAGCTCCTTTGTTGTATTTCAGGATGAAGAGGAGATTTCTACCAGCCCAGGGGTTTCTGAGTTTGTCAGTGATGCCTTTGATGCCTGTAACTTAAATCAGGAGGATCTGAGGAAGGAAATGGAGCAACTGGTTCTTGACAAAAAGGAGGAGGAGACAGCCATCCTAGAAGGTACCAGACAAACAAAATAGCTGTGCTCTTTTCTGATTCCGAAGTTGACTGGAGAAAATGTCATTCTGAAGCAGATATACAAACATATTGTAATTTATTGTGTTCGCCATTAGAAGGTGGATTCTTGCACACGTGACCAGACCTCACATCCCTCTGCCTTAAGCATGGCCAGGAATATAGAGAGGAGAAACTGAGCCCAGAGAGGATAAGTGATTGATCCAAGGCACCTCAGCTCTTTGAACATGTGGTTAGCAACAGGCAACAAAGAGTGCATACCCTTTCACTTAGAGACACTGCCCTCGGGATCCCTGGGTGGCGCAGCAGTTTGGCGCCTACCTTTGGCCCAGGGCACGATCCTAGAGACCCGGGATCGAGTCCCACGTCGGGCTTCCGGTGCATGGAGCCTGCTTCTCCTTCTGCCTGTGTCTCTGCCTCTCTGTGCGTGTGTCTCTCATGAATAAATAAATAAAATCTTTAAAAAAAAAAAAAGACACTGCCCTCCAGCCTTCTACTTGGGCTTCTACTTTTTTTTTTTTAAGGTTTTATTATTTGAGACAGAGAGCATGTGCACATGAGCAGGGAGAGGGACAGAGAGAGAAGCAGACACCCCACTGAGCAGGGAGCCCAAATGGGTCTTGATCCCAGGACCCTGAGATCATGACCTGAATTGAAAGCAAATGCTTTACTGACTGAGCCACCCTTGCGCCTCTTGGGTTTATACTGTTATGTAGAAGATTCTTTTTAATATTTTTTATTTATTTATTTTTATTTATTTATGACAATCACACAGATAGAGAGAGAGAGGCAGAGACACAGGCAGAGGGAGAAGCAGGCTCCATGCACCGGGAGCCTGACGTGGGATTCGATCCCGGGTCTCCAGGATCGCGCCCTGGGCCAAAGGCAGGCGCTAAACCGCTGCGCCACCCAGGGATCCCTATGTAGAAGATTCTTTTCCCTGCTGCTATGTGCCACAAGAGTATTGCTTCTGGGAAGGAGCAGGCTGCCTTTAAAATAATAATAATAGGGGCAGCCCCGGTGGCTCAGCGGTTTAGCACCGCCTACAGCCCAGGGCTTGATCCTGGAGACCCAGGATCGAGTCCCACATCAGGCTCCCTGCATGGAGCCTACTTCTCCCTCTGCCTATGTCTTTGCCTCTCTCTCTCTCTCTCTCTGTGTGTGTGTGTGTGTGTGTATCTCTCATGAATGAATAAATAAAATCTTAATTAATAATAATGATGATGATTTAGGGCACCTGGGTGGCACAGAGTTTGGGAGTCTGCCTTCGGCTTGGGTCATGATCCTGTGTCCTGGGATCGAGTCCCACATCAGGCTCCCCGCAGGGAGCCTGCTTCTCCCTCTGCCTATGTCTCTGTCTCTCATGAATAAATAAATAAAATCTTTAATAATAATAATTTAGAGACAAAGAACAAGCAGAAGGAGGGAGGGCTGCTTTCTTTGGCACATCAGGACAAATGACTGGCTTTCTACTGGATGAAAAGCAAAGGGTCGAGTTAATCATCATCATATGAAGAGTGTTTCATGAAGCCTTCTGAGACTGACAATGCACTCAGGAATCTGGCTTTCCCCTAGTTGTACAGAGAGCTCCCATGAGAAAATTAGCCTCCCAGAGGTGAACCAGAACCCTGTTTGCACACTGCGGAGGGACTCTGGAGAGAATTGGGAAAAGAGGAAGGAAGAGCTTCTGGGGGAAAGAGAGGCCAGAGGAGAAGTGAAAACTTGGGCTTGCTAGGTGCCTCAGATTCCTTCTACCCTTACCTGTTTCTGATAGAGATGGCTGCCAGCCACCACAGAAGGACAGTGGGCAAGAGCCCCATGTGTTCTAGGCGATAGCTAGAGTGGACTGTGCGTGGGTTCCCTTTTTGCCAGTGATGGCTAGTAGCACAGGCCCCACAGGAAACTGGAAGTTGCCCTGAGGCAGGATTCATAAGGTGCTGGCTGGCTGCTCCAGGCAAGCTATTCTTTTATTGAATTCCTGCCCAAGTTATAATTCAGAACACGTAATATTCTTTTATATATTCATTGTCTTGGCCCTCCAGCTAAATTTTAAGTACCTCAAGGGCAGTTACACCTTGGATTTGTCACCGCACAGTACCTGACATGGAGTTTGGCACCCAGTAAGCCCCTAATAAATATCTATGACATTGGTGGTTGGCCATGCAACACACTGTGTCCTTTCCCTTGAGTCACCGCTGCCAAAAAAAATTAAAACACTTGGTTTTCAAGGTTTAAGGTTTGTCTGTTTGTTTTAAGATTTTATTTATTTATTTATTTATTTATTTATTATTTATTCATTCATTCATTCATTCATTCATTCATGAGAAACACAGAGAGAGAGACAGAGACACAGGCAGAGAGAGAAGCAGGCTCCACGCAGGGAGCCCGATGCGGGACTCGATCCCGGGTCTCCAGGATCACGCCCTGGGCTGAAGGCGACGCTAAACCGCTGAGCCACCCTGGCTGCCCTAAGGTTTGTTTTTAAAAGAAGAAAAGCGAGGTGCCTGACTGGCTCAGTCAGTGGAGCAGGCGACTCTTGGTTTCGGGGTTGTGAGTTTGAGCCCCACACTGGGTGATTACTTAAAATCTTAAAAAAAAAAAAGATGAAAATGAATTTTAGCTTTACTTTTTATTATTATTTTTTAAGATTTATTTATTTATTTGAGAGAGAGAGAGAGAGAGAGAGAGAGAGAGAGAAAGCACAGAGCAAGGGAGTGAGAACAAGAGTGGGGGAGAGTGGCAGAGGGAGAGTGAGCAGCAGACTCCCTGCTGAGCAGGAAGCCCTATGACACCAAGATCATGACCTGAGCTTAAGGCAGATGCATAACCCACTGAGCCACCGAGGCGCCCCTAACTTTACTTTTTAAATAGCTGGTTTGTTTTCTATTTTAAAACACCACATAGCAGGGATCCCTGGGTGGCTCAGCGGTTTAGCACCTGCCTTTGGCCCAGGGCGCGATCCTGGGGTCCCGGGATCGAGTCCCGCATCGGGCTCCCGGCATGGAGCCTGCTTCTCCCTCCTCCTGTGTCTCTGCCTCTCTCTCTCTCTCTATGCCTATCATAAATAAATAAATAAATAAATAAATAAATAAATAAATAAATAAATAAATAAATCTTTTTAAAAAAATAAAATAAAATAAAACACCACATAGCAGATGTCTTATCGCCTACATATATACATACATGTACACATATACACACACACATATATTGAGTGTCTAAGCAGAAAGGTGCAGTTCTGAATCTCAACACAGAGGAGGAACATGAGAGCTTAGATGTGACCTCTAAGACTAGACTAAGACTGTGACCCAGTGTGAGGGGCCAGGCTTCAGCAAGAGACCTGACTTCACGGTCTGGTATCCTGTTGCCAATCTAGGGAGACTACTGCTAAAATGGTGATGCACAGATTGTGAAGCCTGCAAATCTGGTTCCATCTGTTGCTATCAAACTGTGTGTTGTTGGGCAAGTCACTTAACCTTTCTAAGCCTCTGTTTTGCAACCTGTAAAATGTACAGCAGTGTATCTAGTGCCTGGATTGTTCGTTCTAAGGATGAAAAAAAAAAGTAATATGTTGAAAGCAGTTAGCACAGGGCCGAGCTAGTGAGTGCTCAAGAAACCTTAGCTGTTGGGCAGCCCGGGTGGTCAGCGGTTTAGCACCTGCCTTCAGCCCAAGGTGTGATCCTGGAGTCCTGGGATCGAGTCCCCCATCAGGCTCTCTGCATGAAGCCTGCTTCTCCCTCGGCCTGTGTCTTTGCCTCTCTCTGTGTGTGTCTCTCATGAATAAATAAATAAAATCTTAAAAAAAAAAAAGAAACCTTAGCTGTTTTTTCTACCATTGTCATCATTGATAGTGGTAAAAATTAATTTGCAACCAAATATTATTAACTATCCATTTAAATATACAAAAAAGCAGAGGTTTTTGTTTTTTAAAGATTTTATTTATTTACTCATGAGAGAGAGAGAGAGAGGCAGAGACACAGGCAGAGGGAGAAGCAGGCTCCATGCAGGGAGCCCGACATGGGACTCGATCCTGGGTCCCCAGGATCAGGCCCTTGGCTGAAGGCGGCACTAAACTGCTGAGCCACCAGGGCAGCCCAAAAGCAGAGGTTTTAATAAAGCAAAACAACACCTGAATGTCTGGCACTTAACTGATTTATCTTTCTAATCGTATTTCCCTTTGGTTACTGTTAAAATTTCTCAGGTTTTCTGAGTACACACAGTGAGGAAGCTGGAGACATTAAAAATTAACATGGCTCGGACTTCCACAGGGAACTGTACTTGACCAAGTTCTTAAAAACAAGCATTGTGAATTCAAAGAGAATCTTTTCCTTCTCATTTGTTTCTTTCAGAAGATTCCGCAGATTGGGAAAAAGAACTGCAACAGGAACTTCAGGAATATGAAGTGGTGACAGAATCAGAGAAACGAGATGAAAACTGGGATAAGGAAATAGAGGAAATGCTGCAGGAGGAAAATTAGTGCTTTTCCTGAAATAAAACAATAATCCTTAACATTCTATAGTTGATATTAAATTCTTGATGACACTTGCTGAATCAGAAGGCACAAAAGATTGCTATAATTATGAAATTCAAGATTATTCTTTTTTCAAGCTGAAACTTGCCTTTTTTGCTTTTTAAAAAAAAGTATATAGAACAGTTATTCTAATCAAAAAGGGATGTTTTATGTAATATTTCTTTAATATAAGTCTAGTTAGAGATATTCGTGTAGTCACTATGGATATCTTTGCCACAGAAATGCAAGTAAAATTTTAGAGTTCTGTTTTCTGTGAGGTCAGAATTATAATTTATTCTTCAATTGTGGTTTTCTAAACATTTGTACTTCTTGTATTTTCATTGATATATGTCTGTTAAAGTACTTACTTAATGGATTGATAACAAAATGACCAAATTTACCAAAGAACTTAGGAAGAGGCACTTTCAAGACTATTTTCTTGCTAGGTATTTTCTAAAATTCCATCTAAAATGCCAAAAGGTAAAATAATTATGTTGATTTTAATGGTATAAACATCATACAATTTGACATTGAGAAATACTGTGTAAAAACATTTGTTTTCCCCTGGGGCCTTTTCTTTCTTGTGTTGTTGTTTGTTTGTTTAACTATACCACATTTAATATTGTTGCTTTCCTAAATTCCCCGTCACAGTTTTTGTAGAAAGCGGGGCCTTTTGTCCTTTTTATATTAATGACCTTCACAGGCCCATTCACCTTACAGTCTCTTTGTTTTTGTTTAAATCATCACCACATATAAATGTTTTAGCTTTGTCTTAATTAAACCTGTCAGTCCTTATAAAATTGTGTTCCTCTGAGTACAACTTCTGGAACTCACCACTTGTATCCTGCTACACCAGCAAACCCACATTTAGAGGATACGGCATTTTAAAAGAACAAGGTGGCTTAATGTCAGAACACTTCTGAGGCATTTGCTTCTTGAAACTTTGGTATTTTTCAAGGAAACTTTATTTCCTAAAAGGGAATAGAATTAAGACAATCCTTTATAGGAAAAAATAATAATAATTAAAAAATCCTTTATAGGAAAATTATAAATCCTTTATAGGAAAAATGTACATATTTATATTCTTGACCCCATAAAAATTAGTCCATGGTCGTCTGGCAAAGGTATAGTCAACAAGGCAACTGGGTGTGCCTCTAAGCTTTGCTCTTGTTTGTAGCTTGGTATACACACTTGTGAATGGGCCAGGCTGTCTCAGCTAGGATCCCTTGTGTTATAGCAATAAATTCATGTATTCTATGAAACCACTGACCCCATTATCAAGGGATTTCCACTTGTGCCACAGTTGCTGATTACTGAGTTTGGGTTCAGGAACGATGACTGGCAAGTTCTAAAATAATCCTATTGAAGGGGAGAAGTTTGGATTTTTTTTAAAGTAGAGTTTTCGGGGGGGGGGGGGAGAAACATATAAAATGTTTTTAATGGCAGCCTGGGTGGCTCAGCGGTTTAGCGCCGCCTTGAGCCCAGGGCCTGATCCTGGAGACCTGGGATGGAGTCCCATGTCAGGCTCCCTGCATAGAGCCTGCTTCTCCCTCTGCCTGTGTCTCTGCCTCTCTCTCTGTGTGTGTCTCTCATGAATAAATAAAATATTTAAAAAATAAAAAATAAATAAAATGCTTTAAGTAGCTAAAAGTCCTGGATGTAAGCAGATCAAAATATGACAGTGCTTGGCTCTTGGTACATGCACTAAAATTCATATTGTTGAAAAAATACAAAAAGCAAAGCTTTCAAAGAAAGTTAAAAAAAAAAAACCTAAAATGACAATAGACATGTTACAGCTGTTACTATCAACTTTACATGATATTCTTACTGCATTTTAAAACAACCTAAATGTGCATTGCTCCATGAAAATAAAAGGCTAAAATAAGATTTTATATACTGCATAAAAATACAGTTATACTCTATTTTTATGATTCCAAATGGAGTAAAATGTTGTGCTCGTATAAATGGTACAGGTAACTGAAGTGTATTCCTTTAAAGGGAAGAATTTGTAACCATGTTAGTTGGAAAATTAAGTATTATTACGTGCCTGGGGGATAGCCAGCAAGCTACACTGAGCATAAAAACACATAAGCTTCACACTGTGGGGATTATACCTCACTACTCAGTGTGGCTCAGAAACCAGTGGTGGCCTGCCCTAGGAGTTTGCTAGAAATGCAGTCTCAGGCCCTGCCACAGACCTGCTGGCCCAGACTCTGCACTTTACTGAGACCCCCAGGGATTAGAATGGGCTTTACAGTTTGATGCACTTTGGACTAACATACTAATGCCCTCAGGGCGGCCAAGGTTGCTGGTGCTTTTTACTTTTTACCCTTCCACTAGCATCCTTGGATGATGATTTTCTTTCTAGTTGGTGTTACAGATGCCTCCTTGGCTGTTCCAGTCAGTTTCTGCTGCCGATTCACCTTTCCACATTGCCAAATAGGAACCAAGCTCGCATGAGGACCATGAATAGTCCTGCTAAATCAGATATCTCTAATGGCATACATTTCAAAGGAAAATGACAACAGTACAGAGCGCAGAGATAAGGGTCCCTGAGAACTGTTTCACATGTTCATGAGCTTTCTCTGAGGTTCTTGAAGGCTGATGTCCCCTGAAGGCTGGGCAAATTCGTGCACATGAAATCAAGTAAAAATACTTGAAAAGGTAATAGATCATCGAACCAAATAAAACTATGTCTTTAAGGTATATGGAGTCTTATTACACAAGAATTAAAATTGTTTATTTACAGTTACAGTAGTTTGGCAAGCAAGTAAAATCCACTGATGCAGCCAGGAGCATGTGCTCTGCTACAGGCAACTTAGGTACAATGTCAGAAACTCCTTATATGCAAAAGTAGCAACTTTTTATACAAAGTGGGAAATCTCAATTTGTAATTTTGGAAAGTCAAAACTAGAGAACCTGTTCTTTTAGGAGATAAAGCAGTAGTGATACTTGTTACAGTGCTTTCAGATGCCCTACGGTAACTAAGATGGTTTTTCACAAATTATTATTACAAATAGGATTTTTAGGACATTTTAAAGGTTTACAAAAAAAAGAAAAAAGAAGCTTACAATCACACCCAACTTGTAATATTTTATTTCCCTCCTTGATCACTTTGGTATAAAAACCAGGACTATGAATGCACTTGTATCATTTAAATAATTTGATATGGTTCTTTTTTGGTAATAGTGAGATTTTCCCTCCATTTTGAAGTAAGACCTTTGGCAAGTGTAAAAGTAGGTGCATTTAATTTTAGCCAATTTATGTTTCAGCTTTTAAAAATATAAGTGGTAGAAATTTTGATCCAATTTATATAATCAATTTTATTGGGAGGAAAATAGGCCTTTTTAATAAATGATTATTTCCAGACTATGTTGATAGGAAAATAAAATCACAGAATGCATGTTACAATACCCAAAAAAAGATGGTGCTTAGAAAACTAATGAGTCATGACAGATGACAAATACATATCCATGAAGCTTTAATCACATGCAGTTACATATTTCTCATAAGTCATCAATTGTTTATCTGGTCTTCACACTCGGAGATTTGTTCAGATGAAACCGTTTGATTTCAGTTGTTAAACTATGATTGGTTTTTTTTTATGATTGGTTTTTAACAGCATTTTTTTCAGTGCATTCTGATTTATTTCCAATATGAAAAAACTATATTCCATTTTGTTCTGAATAAATAAACCTCATTTTTAGCGATGAAATATAAGTTATAATGGTTTTTCCTGAATAACTAAAAATTCTCTTCCAATAAGGACCTGTAAATATTTTCAAAGTATCTGGTATGTAGGCTTCTATTGTTAGAATTAAAACTGCCTTGAGAAGTTATTGAGTCTTAAGAACACATCTAACTTTCACTGTAGACTTCTACACAAGTGCAATGGGTTGTCCTTCATGATAAAAAAAATCATTCTAATCTAGTCAGCAGGTCTTTTACTCTAAAGCTATTGCAGGATTTCCCCCTCCTCCCAGTAGTGATAGTACATATTGATCTATCTTGTTCTCTCCTAATAACCATGATGAGCACTGATTATGCTTTCTGCTGGCTAGAGCTAAAACTCACCGAGGTTAACCAGTTCTCAGTAAAGCTGAGGGGGAAAATTTAAGCCTGTGGCCTAATAGGATCACCCAGCTGGTTTAGTCGGTAGAGCACGAAACTCTTGATTTTGGGGTTATGAGTTCAAACCCCACGTTGGGCCTAGAGCTTACTTTAAAAATAACAAACCTATGACCTTAAATAAAGAGAGATAATAGATCAATTCAACATAATAGAAGATTTGGGTGACTACCACTAAAGTATCCCCATTATAATCATGAAAATAGTAAGTACATAATATCCTCCTCTGTCACACTGGACTTAGTGCAAAAATCCAGATACAGGGACACCTGGATGGCTCAGCAGTTGAGCGTCTGCCTTCGGCTCAGGGCATGATCCTGGGGTCTGGGGATCGAGTCCCACGTCAGGCTCCCTGCATGGAGCCTGCTTCTCCCTCTGCCTGTGTCTGTGCTTCTCTCTGTGTATCTCTCATGAATAAATAAATAAAATCTTAGGGCAGCCCAGGTGGCTCAGCGGGTTAGCGCCATCTTCCACCCAGGGCATGACCCTGGACCCCCGGGATCGAGTCCCACGTTGGGCTCCCTGCATGGAGCCTGCTTCTCCCTCTGCCTGTGTCTCTGCCTCTCTCTGTCCCGCATGAATGGATAAATAAAACCTTAAAAAAAAAAAAAAAGATAACTAGGGAGCACTCAGTTGCTTCCTTAGAAAAATGAAAGGATGGAATTGCTTGAGAGTTTTTGTTTAAGATTTTATTTTTTTAATTTTATTTATTCATGAGACACACAGAGAGAGAGAGAAAGAGGCAGAGAGAGAAGCAGGCTCCATGCAGGGACTGGATCCAGTAGCCAGGTGGTAAGGAAGACATTTTGTTTCAGAACCCCAAAAGGCTCAGGAATTCCAAAGGTGTACCTCCTCTAAAGACTGAGGGAAAATTTAAAAAAAAAAAAAGAGAGAGAGAGACTGAGGGAAAATTGATAGGGTGGCCAACTAGAGGCCTCTCCCACAATTTACAACTAAAAAATCATCAAAGAGTGGTATAAATGTATTATGAGCTATGGAGGCAAACATGAAACTGCTAAAGGTTTAAAATGATGGCTCCTGGGAAGTGGGAATTAGGGCTGGGGAAGGGCGAGTCAGGGGTCTGCTGTTCTGAAAGCGCTCCTCAGGGCAGCCCAGGTGGCTCAGCGGTTTAGCGCTGCCTTTGGCCCGGGGTGTGATCCTGGAGACCCGGGATCAAGTCCTATGTTGGGTTCCCTACGTGGAGCCTGTGTCTCTGCCTGTCTTTCATGAATAAATAAATAAATTTTTTAAAGCCTTCATCAAATGACTTCTAAAATTAAAACTATAAACAGAAGATCTTTTTTTGAAGTTATTTTTGGGGGCATCTGGATGTCTCAGTGGTTGAGTATCTGCCTTCCGCTCAGGTTGTGATTCCGGGGTCTTGAGATCAAGACCCATATCGGGCTCCCTGCATGGAGCCTGCTTCTCCCTCTGTCTATGTCTCTGCCTCTCTCTCTCTCTCTCTCTGTGACTATCATAAATAAATAAAAATTAAAAAAAATAAAGATAAATAAAAATAAAATAATAAATAAAATAAAAAAGAACAAAAAGAGTTATTTTTAACCAGGTTATGGCAAAAAAAGGTATGCAAATACAGTAGATGAGAGTGTAAAATTGTAAGACCTTTCTGAATGGCAGTTGGGTAATATGCATCAAAATTTTAAATGTACAGGGATCCTTGGGTGGTTCAGCGGTTTAGCGCTTGCCTTCGGCTCAGGGCATGATCCTGGAGCCCCAGGATCGAGTCCTGCGTCGGGCTCCCTGTATGGAGCCTGCTCCTCCCTCTGCCTCTCTGTCTCTCATGAATAAATAAATAAAGTCTGGGATCCCTGGGTGATGCAGCGGTTTAGTGCCTGCCTTTGGCCCAGGGTGCGATCCTGGAGACCCAGGATCAAATCCCACGTCGGGCTCCCGGTACATGGAGCCTGCTTCTCCCTCTGCCTATGTCTCTGCCTCTCTCTCTCTCTCTCTCTCTCTCTCTCTCTCTCTCTCTCTCACTATCATAAATAAATAAAAATTAAAAAAATAAAATTTTAAAAAATAAATAAAGTCTAAAAAAGAAAAGAAAAGAAAAATTTAAATGTACAGAACATTTAGTTCAGCATTTTCACTCTTAGAATCTATCCTGAGGGGATGCCTGGTGGCTCAGCGGTTTAGCGCCTGCCTTCGGCCCAGGTTGTGATCCTGGAGACCCGGGATCGAGTCCCACATCAGGCTCCCTGCATGGAGCCTGCTTCTCCCTCTGCCTGAGTCTCTGACTCTCTCTGTGTCTCTCATGAATAAATAAATAAACTCTTAAAAAAATAAAATTCTAAAAAAAAAAAGAAAAAATCTGTCCTGAGGAATTGAACAAGCACTGCTTTGATTATAAAACTGAAAATTGGGAGAAAAAAAAACTGAAAATTGGAAACTACATGTTCTATATCAGAATCTTCATTTAAACAAGTGATGGCTCGTCCATACAATGGAATGATATGCAAACATTTTATTTTTTT